GACTTCTAAGAGACACAGACCTCTCCAGAGAACCCAGAGCAAGGGGTCCTGAGAGCAGGTGTAAGTAAAAGGGCAGGAGCCATAGGAAGCAACTCCGTGCTCCAAACCCTGACCCTGCGGTGGACCGTGCACGGAGCTGCGTGGCCAGGGAGACAAGCAAGTCAGACCTGAGGGTCTAGGGGCCGCTGGGCGGGAAGAGCACGCACACAGGGAATCATCCCTCCACTCTCCCCGCCTCACTAGAAAGCACAACGTGGCCTGGGATAGCTCGGATGAAGAAGTCGGCTCCACTCCAGGCCTTCACAGAGCTAATAAGGCTGGGGAGGGCCTCCCATAGTGGCCAGAAAGAGAGCAACCAGGGGAGGGAAGGGGAGGCATGCAGGGGGAAGGTGGACGGTGCAGCATAAGCAAAGGTGCAGGAGGGCAGCTGGGTGTGTCTCGGGGATGGTGGCAAGTCCAGCGTGGCTGTGGCCTAAAGGTGTGAAGGAGGCCTGAGAGGAGGTGGCCAGAGGTCGGTCAGGGTGGGCTGCAGAGGGCCTCCCTCAGATGCCAAGCTCAGGCCTTCAGGCCCTTTAGACCCTCGCCTGTGGATGGCAGGGACATACTAAAGAGTTTAGAGAGGGCATGACACGGCCAGAACTAGAAAAATTGTAGGCAGCTGAGTGAGATCAGAGGCACCAGGGGATACACAAGCAGAATCAGAGAGACAGATCCTGGGCACTGCATCTGGGGCAAAAGGCTGCCATGGTTATTACGAGCCCACCTGGCCAGCTGGGCCTGCATTCCTCACCTGTTTGTTAATTCCCATGGCAGCTAATCCCACAAACATCCTGTATTTCTTTTTTTTTTTTACGGTATGCGGGCCTCTCACTGTTGTGGCCCCTCCCACTGCGGAGCACGGGCTCCAGACGCGCAGGCGCAGTGGCCATGGCTCACGGGCCTAGCCGCTCTGCAGCATGTGGGATCTTCCCGGACCGAGGCACGAACCCGTGTCCCCTGCATCGGCAGGCAGACTCTCAACCACTGCGCCACCAGGGAAGCCCCTGTATTTCTTATTTAGGGCTAGTGCTGCCAGGGTGACAACCTGCCTTCCCCTTATCTTTGGAGGTTTTATGGTTTCCTTTCCCAATTAAAGTATGAAGGAGTGTAGTGTGCACCCCACCTCCCATCTGCTACGACGTCTTGATGTCCTCCTCCGCACCAAGGTCCCAGTGCTGGACCTTGGGCAGGACACCTGTGCCTCAGAGAAGCACCCTTGGCTCCGAGAGGCTGGACCTGCCAGAACCCTAATGGGATGTTCAGATGCCAGCCGGTCAGGGCAGGAAGAGAGCTGGACACAGAACCAAGAGTAATGCTGCTGCTTCTCCAGGTTTACTCAACCGGTAAAGCACACCACCCACCTCTACCCGGCTTATTGTGAGATGGAAGTTATTACGGTGATTGGAGGGGACTAAACCAAACGAAAGTGGTTAATAGCTTAGTATGGACAGGGTAGGAGCCACAAAAGCCCATGAAAGCTCACCCCTGTGTGTGGAGCTTGAGACACAACCCTTCTCTGAAGAAGCTGGTGGGCTTGCCGTGGTCCCTAAGTCCACTATCTGACCCATGGAGGCCGCACAAGTGGGAGGGAGGGTCTCAACGCTGGTATTGAGTGGGGGTGAAGCAGGAGGTGGGGAGAGAGCAGTAAAGAGTTTATCACCACAGTCCTGGGCAGAGTAAATAGGCAGGAAGAAGGGGACGGGATGGGGCTGGGGGGAGAAGGAACTCAAATCAGCTAATGTTTACCAAGGGTTCACTGTGTGCCAGGTGCGTCACAGCCCTGTGTGCTAAGGACTAAAACCTTGCCCTCCCACTACTGAGGAAACAGAGGTGTGAAGGACTCAAGCCCAAGGTCACTGAGCTGGCAAGGAGCAGAGCCGGAACCCAGGCAGCCTGAGCCTGGTGCTCTCTCCCAGCCCTGGACACCCAGCTTTGAGAAGGAGAGACTAAATGGCCTTGAGGAGGGAGTTAGTGCTGATGCACTGAGAGGGCACTAGGAGACGGGGACTGGCCTCTGAGCTGCAGCCCTACTGTGGCTTATGTGGCTTCCTACCCATCACTTCTCCTCTCTGAGCCTCAGTTTCCTCACCTGCAAAATAGAACAGTTTTCACACTATCTGGCCTCAGGGGTACACATGAATCCCAGCAAAGACTGAAGGGGAAGTCAGGGGACAGAGATGGGGACATGGCCTTCACTTCAAGTAGAATAGCACCATTGTGACCCACTGTGGATGGGGGCTGTGTAGGATTTTAAAGTGGCAGGAAAAGGTTTTGTTCTTAAAAACCTGTCTGAGAACCCCTGGACTAGATGTCTCAGTGGCCCCTCCTATTTTAAGCACTTTCTCATCTTAAATGGGGTATGTGTTGGGGGTGGTGGTGAATGAAGCATCAAAATGACAGCAGGGTGTCTGAGACAGGAAGACGCTGAGAAGCCTATTTGCTCAACAAATGGTACACAAAGCCCAAGCCAGATGCTATGAACTCCCTTTCCCTTACTATAACAGTAAAACAGAGAACACAGGAAGGTCCTAATTTGTAGACGGGGCACGCTCCAAATGTTTCCCCTCCCACCTCTTTCTTTTCAAGGTTTAGGTTTCCTATCATCACTTTATTATGGGTTCTTTATAGATTCCATACAAGATATTCTTCACTGGAAAGATAGAGCAGACTTCAAGTTTCTTTATGACTTGGTTACCTGGAAGTCAGATCATATTTTCCCAAAGAAATAATCAGGGCAGAGCTGGAGCAGAAGAAATTAGATTAACTGGGGGAGAGGGAGATAAAGAGGAAATTATTCACCGAAGGTGAAAAGTTAACCCTTGGAAGAGAAGGAAAAGATGAAGAAGAAAGACACGCACTGGGGCAGGGGTAGGGGTAGGGGGGATGGGGTGGGGGAGAGACGACAATACAGAAGACTCAAGGAAAAACAGACTGTAAACGTTACAATGCTTTTCTCTTGTAAAAATAAAATACAGTGTGTGTGTGTATGTGTGTGTGAAAAATAATAATAATAATAAAGTTAGATGTTGACAAAACTAAACTCTTTTGTTAGGGATGCATGCAGGTTAAAGGAAATGACTGTCAAGAAGTGAGGATGGTGTTTAACCGGGAAGAGGGAAGGAGCTTGTGATGAGAAAAGGAGATGGGAGGTTTTTAAGATGCTGACAAGCATCAATACTTTCAGATTCGAGTAGTGGTTATGTAAGTATCCTCTTTTTATTTGTTACAGTGACAGTTTTGTCCTGTGCACTTCTCAGTAGGCATATCGTATTTTACAATTAAAAACCTGCATAAAGAAGAAGAAGAAAAAAAAGACGTAAATGTTTGGAAAAACGAAAAATAAAATACTTCCGATGCTGAGATACATGTGGGAAAAGATAGGAATTGGGGGTGGTTCTCAGTATCCTAGGGAAAGTAAGGAGGTGGGAGGGGAGGAGGTGTTAATGTAGGCCTGCTTTCCCCAACGTTCAATTCATGGAACACTCTTCGCTTGAGATGGTTCTTGGAAAACGGCTCTCCAGTCAGATGAGCTCAGGAAACACTATGTGTGGAGTCCTTCTGGAGGCTGTAATGTACACCAGTACACTGAAGGCTCTGCAGGAATGAAACCTGCTTCACGTTGCTCAGTCCAGCATTCCTCAGATGCGTTTGGCCTCAGATCTCCATTTCGGAAAGCACAATTTGTGAGAAGCCCCATCTTAGGCAGTGTCCAGTGTCAGCCGGCACAGCAGGGCCACTGGTCCAAGCTGGCTTGCTTAGTTGTTCTGCCAGCTTGGACTGGGGCGGGCAGGAGAAAAGAGCTGGTATAGGACATTTGGAAACGTGGGGAATATCTATACAAGCATGTCATAGGAATTTATGACAGTGGCTAAATTTCACTGGTCCAATATTTGTTTTGACTTTATAATCGAAGGGAAATCTCACATTCACCTAAAATACAAGCTTTCTGTACATTCGCATTCTCCCCCCGGGCGCCCACACCAAGTCTTCCTTGACCACGGTCACCTAAATTCAAAAACTTGGCATCATCACTAACTATCTTTTACACTCTTTATCCAAGTATATATTTTAATCTAGTTTATATGCCATCCAGACCACAGCTGTCTCTCCTCTGCTCAGGCAGATTTGTGGGAGGCCACCAGATGCCTTGATGAATAAGATCTGACACGGTGTCTACAGTGTATCATTCATCTACTGGTAAAACAACTGTCAAAGAGGGAAAGGAGATGCAGCTGGCGTGGCCTGTTCCTCGTAATCTCTGCTGGCCCCTGGTGCTGGTGGCTTCCTCTCCCAGGCGCTCGCTCACTGCCGTTGCTTTAATAACGGGCTCCTGAATCTTGCCATGGTCAACACGTGCTCACTGGCATCAGACAAGTGTTCCTTGATGGCAGGGTTTTTCTTAAGCAAGTCTTCTGGTCCAAGGAAGACCCACCAAGTCCCTCAACTTTGATGGAAGCTGTCAACTGCTAGTAATCTTACTACTCAAGCTAACTTACTACAAGCAGACCCAGAGTTTATCTTGAAATGAAATGGACACTGGACCTTTTAGAAATGGAAATGCATCCTGTCTCTTCAGATGAATTTCAAGGGAATTTGGTATATAAATAAGTTAGATGTGTTATTCCAACTGGGAGGTTATAGTCTAAAGATAGGAATTTAGGTATTCAGGATGAACTTGAAATACCAAAGTTATACTCTTGGGAAAAAACAAAACAAAACAACACTGTATGGCATTTAGCTCATTTGCACCAAGATAAGGAGGGGGGTGGGGATGGTAGTGGAGTTGCAAAATGCCAGATGTCTAAAAAATCACTTCCATTCCTTCACCCCTCATTACTCACATATTTGAGTACACAAGCACGCGCATGCACGTGCGCACACACACACGCACGCACATGCACACATGTGGACCCTTTCCCACAGGGTCCTTCCCTCCCTCCCTCCACCTTCCCAGACCTCACCTGGTTGATAACATAGATGCCATAGTCCAACTGCTGACGCTGTAGGATTGGGTGCAAATAATACAGCCAGTACTTGAGGTGTTCCTGCCGGTTGCGGAATGGAATGATGATGGCCACCTTGTGAGGAGAGATGCAGTCCTTGGGGGTATAGCGACCCCCCACCTTCACCTTCGGGTTCTGTTCCTCCACAAGCTTCAGGTCCACAGCTTTGTTAAACTCAATCAGCATGGGGCCGACTAGAGAGGTGGAGGGAAGGAGAAGATATCAGGCCACAGGACTCTGCAGGTGGCCAGGCCGCTACCGCTGGAAGCATCTCCTCCTGCGAGGCAGTGTGGCTGTGGAAAAGGCACTCAGGCCCAGCACTGGGTACCATGTCCAGAACTAGCATGACTGACCATCCCAGGAAACCCTTCCGTATCAGGCAAACCCAGACAGCTGGTCACCCTCTGAAGCACTTCACCTTCCTAGGACCCACTCCTCTCAGACTATGTTGCTCAACTGAAAAATGGAAATGGAGTAATTCCTGCTCAGACTTCCTGACAAGCTGTAGTAAGGATCAGAGAGCATGGCTGAGAAAGCACTTTGTCAGAAATCCTGAGGTTGAAACTCTGCCACCTCCCAGCTGTGTGACCTTGGACAAATGACTTACATCATCTCTCTGAACCTAACCTAGTCGGGGGAAAATGTGCGTGTGTGTTGGGGAGGTCCCTGTGGAGGAAATGAGCCTGAAATTACAAGGCAGCAGAGAGTGGCATGAGTAACCCATGTCTCAGGAACGGAAGTGATGCACAGATGAAATGAACTCGACGGGTAGGGACTGGAGGAACTAAGGGGAAACAGAGAGAAGAAACAGCCAGAACAAACATCAAAGAAGAGTGCTTAGAATTAGCAGGGGATGAAGAAGGGAGGAAAAGTCAGGGGCAACTCCAAAGTTTCTGGCCTAGAAGAACATGGCTCCAAATGAGAGAACTAAGTTAGTAAGAGAGCTCTGGGCTCAGAAGACAAATTGATGAGACGTGGATGGTGGCTTGTGAGGTAGTGGCAGGTTAGGAGTAGAGGAAAAGGCAACGGTGAAGATCCAGATACAGGCATGAAAGTCCCCGTCTCCTAAGTAGAAACAGGTGGAGCTGAGAGAGGACCTCACTCCTCCAAGTCTGACGACCACCCCTGCCACAGCACACATGGGGAGGGCAGGAGAAAGATGACTAGCCTAGGGACACACAGGGAATTGGGAACAGAGTCAACACTTGAACCCAGGTCCCCAGTATTCCCTGTAGGCCACACTTTCTCAAAGTGGGTTCCAGGAAACACTAGTCCCAGTGAGATGCTCAATGGAAGAACACGTCCCCTGGTCAAATAAGTTTGGGAATGCTGCATACTAAATCTTGCTTCTGGAAAGTCATAATGCATACCAAAAGCTCTGAGAAGCTGTGCAGTCAAGAAGTTCACTTTATCTATCTCACCACTTCCTAAACTTATTTGGCCATAGAATCATTTTATCAGGGAAAATACTTTAGGAACCGTTACTCTAGCATAACCAGCTTTACCTATGGAGTAAACTATCCACAGGAACAAAGGAAGGAACCTAAACACTACAGAACAGAAGCCAGACCCAGAACACAAACTCAGAGCAAGTTCACCTGAAACATGCTGGTGAGAACCACCCAGGGTCCAGTGTGCAGCCCTCTGTCGCCCTGTTTGTTTGTCAACAGTATGTAGCTCTCCAAGCACCTCTTGTCTTCAGGGATCACTCACCCTCCTGAAATGAGGCAGCCCAAGAAAAAGAAGCTGTGACTCTTGCTCCCCTTGCCTGTCAGCAGGTATGGACCTGCATCTCCTCATCCTCTCCCCTCTCCTGGATCCCCAGGACTCCTCACACCTTCCCTCCCTGACGCTGACCCAGTTCTATCATCACAGCACCCGCTCACATTAGTTCATTTTCTTCTAAGACACAGCTCTGATCCTATCACTTTCCTGCTAAAACCCTCTGATGGCTCTAAGGCTATAGCCTTGGACAAGGTAGGGCTAAGCCTCTTAGCTTGGCAACAAGGCCCTTCAGTCTCAGCTCTACCCTCCTTCCCGTTCCTATAAACTGTGCCTATGCCCACACTTTTCCCTTTGCCAGAAACGCTCTTCGCTCTTTCCTCTAACGTCATTGAGAGACTAGGATCTTAAAATCGAAGCCCCAGTCTGGCCTTGTCCTTTTGCTCTCCTCATTCCCACAGAGCTCAGACGGCAGACCCCGTGCGGCAGGAAGGGGGTCTTCAGGGATCAAAAGCCCTAGTCTCTGCCTGGCCGTGTACCTCAGTCTCTGGAGGAACAGAGGCCTCACAGATCAGTCCCTCACATGATTGCCTGCTGACCCAGCTCCAACCTCCCAGGGTGCCCTCAGGTGAGTAGGTACTATGTCCCAGAACCAAGTAAGGGGTCAGCCTGGCCATTGTCTCTACAGAAAAATGTGAGGAGTGTGAACACATTCTATCATCAGAATCATGTGAAGTAATCGGTAAAAATATGGAATCTCAGGCCTCTCCCCTAGAGAACCTGACTCGGTAGATCTTGGGAAGGACCCACGTAAATAACAAGGAGCCCAAGGGATTCTTATTGGGCAAGATGGGCAGAGGAGAGCCGGACAGCCCATCTTCACAAGCCTTGGGGCTTTCATGGAGGGAGCCCTTTCCCACAGGGTCCAGCAGGCCTGGGTTGCTCTACTCCCCAACCCTGGGCAAAGCCTTCTGGGAGACCCTGCTGCACAGGGTGCTTGTGAAAAACATGAAAAGAAGGTCTGTCATTGGGCTCTTCTCACTTCAGAAGGCCCCACCACATCTGCACCCCATCCCCAGCCTGCCCCACCTTTGGTTCTGAAGATGCTGCTAAACATAGCTCCATTTTGGGGAACCCAAGAGGCATCTGGACTGCCACCCTACCAAACTTCTCACAACTTCTGAAACCAACCCAGAAAACAGGAATTCACACTTGGTCTGCCCACCCTCCCTGGAGCAGACACCTGCAGGCTAGAAACGTCTTAATTTCGCCCCTTCAGCAGTTGCAGAAAGATGGTCCTGAGGTAGAGTTTCCTGGTCAGGAGAAAGGCTGCCTGGGTCCTAGTTCAGCTCTACAAGTGACTTGTTGGATGATCTTTGGGCGACTACCAGCCAGCCACTCTCAGGATACTGGCTTCCATTTGCAAACTGCAGGGATTGGAAGTCACATGAACACTTATTTAACCTCACCACCACCACCACCACCACCACCTATGGCCAATCCGCTTCTGCTCCAGATTTCCTTCAGCAACTGATAACACTGTCTACCCAATTATGGGAGCTGATAACCTGGGTGGTCCATCTTCCATCCCCCTCCTCTTCCTTCAGCCCCTGCATAGGGGTTAACAGCATGTGACCGTCCATCCACGGGAGCCTACTCAACCATCAAGCCAGAAGAGTTTGTTTAACGTAAACGTTTTCTGTGGTGTGTCAAGGCCACTTTCAATTCGTTTCAATCAATACTTTCTGGACACCTACTGTGTGCCAGGTGGTGTGCCAGGTCAGGGTGGTGGGAGGTGATGGGATGGACAGGACAGTTCCTGACTTCAAGGAGCCCCCTGCTGAGCGTGGCAGGACCCACGTGAAAACCACCCTGGTTCAAGGCTGTCTGAGGGACTTGCTGCCCCAGTGGCTCCATGCAGAGCTTGATCACCGAACAGCCTCTTTCTCACTCCCCTACTCCTCCCTGTGCTCTCTCACAACCCTGCCCTGTCTCCCACACATCTAGAGCACCCTGACCCCCATCTTGCCCTTCTTGCCCAATCTGGCAATTCTTTTCCCTGCCTTCTCTCCTTGAAGCTGCCACTGCTCTGAGAACCACCCCTCCCCGTTCACACCCCTGAGATGGGTCAGTGCTTGGCAGCTGTGGTAGCTCCAGATCCAGGGCTGAATGTTTTCCTGGAGCTGGCGCTAGCCGGGAGGCCTCCCTGCATGCCCGGCACACCTCCTGCCACGAGGCAGGGGACGTCCTTCGTGGCACACCTGGCTTTGCCCTAATTAGAAAGGCCAAAGAGCTCAGACTCCAAAAGGGCAGTGACCAGCTCTGCCTAGAACTGCACAGACCTGCCAGCAGGTCTCAAAGCCACCCCGGGGCCTCGGGAGAGGCGTGGGGGAGGAAGCAGAGGGCTGAGGCTTCCTGACGGTCCTCGGGCCGAGCCAAGGCCCCCTTGCTGTGCAGCGCGTGGCGCGTGCTACCACAAGCCCTCGGCCCTGCTGGGCCGGCTTGTGTGTTTTCTTGGCTCTAAGAGCTGGGAAGCAGGGTTACGTAAGCAGATGAGCAGATGTGAGCCTGTCCTCAGCTCCCCCCACTAAAGCCCTGCCACGTGGGCCTCTCAGCTGGGAGTCTAGGTCACAGCCTTGCATGTAAGTCGCTCAATAACTTCAATGTGTGAACTCAACTCAGACAGATTCCACTGCTCCCTCGCCCAGCACGGCAAACCCAAACACACATATGCCCCTCCATCAAAAGCCCTGTGAATCCAGAGCCAGCCCAGCACAGAGTCCCTGCCTCACTTCCATGCTGGCTGAACCACTCGTTCATTCCTCTAGCCTCAGCCAAAGAGGCTGGAACATCTAGCCACTGCTTCCCAACTGACCAGCCAATAGGTCAAGACAGTCCTTGGCCTGTTGTGGAGTGGTGACAATGTTTCATGAGCCTGAGACAAAATGGTCAAAGATAATGTAAGTGGTCCTTCATTAAGCTCAATGTAATCAATATATCAGAATGTCCATTCTTCCAAGATGAAGTGCTTCTTACTCTTTAAATGTTAAAATCCCCTTTCTTTTATGAAATGATCACAGTGGATTTTGATGCTGGATTGATCTTTTTTAATATAACTTTTTTAAAAACCCTTACTTGCAGCCATGGGTCAGACCTCCAAGTTTAAAAAAATTTTTTTTCTTGAGCAATGAAATTCACTGATTTGGGAACTAGACAATGCCCAGAGCTTTGTGGTTCAACAAGCTGAGATGTTGGAATCTCTTCCTTGGTCAAGCCTCAGACCTAACAGTATGGCATAGCCCCCCTTCAAGCCATCCCTCCCACTGCCCACCCCTCAGCCCCACTACAGTGTTGTTCCTCAGGCCCTTGTGGGTGAGCCATTTTTCTCTGTACCAGTCTTCCGACGGCCAGATGTATGCTGGAAGCCAAGCCAGGCACTACTAAATCCCCCGGCTTGGGAATGACAGTTGTC